CATTCATTGTATGTTTAATTAAAAGTTCAAGGCATTTTCACTTCTGCGGCTCACAATGGGAGCAGTTTGAATGGCTTCCAGCTCATACGAGGCGATACAGAAACGAGCCACAGGACATAATTAAACCTTAGTATCATTCACTCATCTCAATATTATCTACGCTTTTGCACATTTTACATCATTCAAAAGACTAAAGTTTCCTCTGTCTCTTTTCGTGTGGGGTTTGAGGCTGCGTTTTGTATTTAGCCCCAACAAAACTTGTCTTTTATGACTGTAGCTTTAGTTCTGCTCGGCCGCTTTGATGAAGAGTCCGACTTTTTTGTGTTTTAATTTTCTGCCAACTTTTTTCCCATCCCATTGAACTCACCGTCGACAATTTTCAGAACATTTTAAATGAAAGGAGCACAGTCTGAAGAGACACAGATTGGGGATGTGCCGTGTCCCTGGCTGAGGCGAGAACCAGCAGCAATTTGTGTTAAAACAAGTGGAAAGGAAGCAACAAAACAAAGTACTTAAAAACGACTTTGTAATTGGGGATGAAGTGCGGATCTTTGAAAAAAAATTAGATTGGGACATTGGACAATTTCAAACACTAATTGGAATTATTTAGTCATTTAGTTACATAGTTATTGGACAATCTTAAAGCGGGAAATCACTTAAAAATTCAGGTTTTTTTCAAAATAGATTGAAATATAAGTTTGGTCAGAAGTGAATTGTATTAATACAAAATAAGTAAATTCATTTTTTACAAACGTGTCTATTTTGAATTCAATTATAATTTTATTAGAGTTTTATATCAAAACTAAAAGTCATGATATATTTTTGTTGTGGTAAATCCTTAAACTGATATATTAGGGATATTTATTATCATTTATTTAATATGAGCTTGTTATTCTTGCATTTTCTGTATTCGAACTGATTCTTTTATCTGTTTATGGTGAATCCACAACTTTGTAAAGTCCTCCGAGACGACTGCTGTTGTGATCTAGGGCTACACAAAAATCCATTAAATTGAACTGAATTCAACTATTATGACAAAAGCATCATCTTCAAATTACTTCCGCCAACTTCTCAGCTGAAATCCCTTAAGCCTAGCGTACATCGGACTGGCAACTGATTATATCCGTCGCATATGAGTTGCTGCCTCGCACACATCGACAATCTGACAAAAACGGGCAACTCCTAGTAGCAGACCAGTCTCGGGAATAACAGCGCGTACATCGACAGCAACTGGCCTCAACTACAGTGTGTTTTCTGACATAAACTGTTGCGGGCGCGCTATACACGCAATACACACACGTTGTCGGAGCGGCGCATGGAGCGCGCACATCGGGGCAACTGAGGACAACTAGTTGCCGAAAAGTAGAACACGGGCAACTGACTGGAACTGGAGACCGACTGATCATCTCCAGTTGTAAGAGCGCGCACATCGACCGATTTTGGCAACTGATCATCTCCCACCATCTCCTCTCAGTTGCCAAAAGCCGCTTTGCAACTAGTTGTCCCCAGTTTCTCTGTCGATGTACGCTAGGCTTTAAAGGACTGAGTTTGCAATGTTTGATGTTAAGATAAATTCAACCCCTCCCTCCGGTGGTAGAAGTGAGGAATTACATGCAGATATATTGGTTTAAGTGTCAAAGTAGGGCTGGGCGATTAATCGATTTTAATCATTAATTCGAGTTTTACGTTTAGGGCGATTTCTTTTTTTAAAAATTCGATTTTTATTTTCTCCAGCGCAGAACTACAGCGCTAACGCGCTAACCGCGGGTCTATGGTGTTGAGCAGTCATTTTGAAGCTAACCTAATGCTAACAGTCTCCCTCTGGCCTGATGCTCGCTCTCACAGTTGGTGCTGTTGCAATAACACTTCAAACGTTCAAGAATCAGACTTTATTTAATCGCCAAAACACACACACACACGCACGCAAGCCCCGGTCGCTATGTTCGTACGCCATGTTCGTACGCCACATCTTTCACGCTCTCTCACGCTCGTTATTCCAAAGCGCACTCCCGTGTCCGTGGCGCGCACACACTCGTGTCCCACTGAGCCGCTGCACTTTGGGGAAAGACACGTCTCACACATTGCTCTCATTGCTCTGATACAAACAACGTGTTCCCCGCTGTCTGCTAGCTACAGTAGCTGCTACAGTAGCTGTTAGCTACAGTAGCTGCTACAGTAGCTGTTAGCTACAGTAGCTGCTACAGTAGCTGTTAGCTACAGTAGCTGCTAGCTACAGTAGCTGCTACAGTAGCTGCTACAGTAGCTGCTACAGTAGCTGTTAGCTACAGTAGCTGCTACAGTAGCTGCTACAGTAGCTGCTACAGTAGCTGTTAGCTACAGCATCAGAATGTAAACAGGAAGCTCGCACAATGCGGGAGTCACTGAAGTTAGTATTAGCGCCACCAGCTGGACCGAGCGTTGTACTACAGCACAGTTACTCAGGCACAGTTGAAAGAACAAGCATGAAAACCCGAGGAGGCTTTTGGAACAGACTGTCTGTTACAACATTTCTATTTTGAGTAATCAGTTTTAAAAATGTGATATTTCATGTAAATAATGCATGTGTTTAATAGGATTGTTATATTTGCGATGGGCCTTGTTTGTGTGATTTAAGTTATTTTGAAGGTGCATAGTGTCATTGTAAGTGAAGTTATTATAAAACTGTTAAGCTACATTTTCACTGTTTACAATGGCAGAGCCATCTCGTTTACAAGCATGTTTTAAGGCTTAATTCCTGTTACACTTATGCTCCATGGGGATTTAGATTAAACTGCATAAAGGAAAATCTATTTCTTTGTCAGTTGTAGTTTGTTTTTAAATAGAAAAAAATAAATCGATTTAAAATCGAAAATCGGATTTGGTGTGAAAAAATCGGAGATTTTTTTTTTTTGCCATATCGCCCAGCCCTATGTCAAAGTAAATATATTCACGTTTAAAGACCAAAAATAATGCGTCGTTCTTTAAGCAGGTTACATCACCAAGCCGAGTCAAATCTGTGGATAGACAACCCTTTTCCGTTTATTTTGGGAAATAAAAAAACATGAAATATAAGTATGTTCTTAACCTTAGGACTAAAACCACATCTCTTTCTGTTTTCTGAGTACATACAAAACATGTTTTTCTTTCCAATTCCAATTCTGAGGTTGAAAGTCCTAACCTTCTCAGAAAAGCAACAGCCTGTGTGCACCGGAAAAAAAAACTTCAAATAACATTGTGTCCCAAACTTTTTTTTAGGCATTTTTGCACTTATACCTCTCTCGCATTTCACCGTCGCCATCCAAATGACCCAATTAGCCCACCTATACCACCAAAACAAACACAGCTGCTATCAACACTGAAAATAACCCCCCAAAAAAATCCTTTCTCCTTTGCCGCGCTCCCAAAGTACGTTTTTGTGATTCCAACCGTCACATTCAAGTTGTGTTAAAAGATATCGTCCATAACTTAGACACAATATACAGTACGTTTACATATAAAGCACGCTCGTATGCAAGTCCTCCGTCATCGGCGCTGTCATCTCCCCGCGTCCTCCGAGACATGAGGCGGGTTGAGGGGTTGGGGGTTGGGGGGGAGGAAGGGAAGGGGGTGAGAGGGGGGGAGTTAAAGGGCCATGGGGACGACAGAATGGCAACCAATCCTGAGTTAGCGGGAGTCTGCTGTAATATGCACCACTGAAGGCACTTTTTTAAAAACCACACTGCTGCTTGGGAATTTCACGTCGGCGTTCCTTCTATATTCTCTCGTTTTCCGGTCCGGACAAAGCAAACAGCTCGACTTAAAGCTCTGGTGAGAGGAGCGGGCAGGGACTGAGTGGCCGAGGGTATACCGCATAGACTGTGTATGGAAGGACAATGCTAACTCGCTAGCTCTCTGAGGCCTAACAGGGGAGTGCTCAAGAACGAAAAATGCTTGCCTTAATAATTACAATACACTTTCTAAGGCTTCCATTCACTCACATTGAATAGTAAGGTGTACATTTCTGATTTAGACCTAACGACGCACATACAACATAGGGATACGCGCATATATTTCATAGTCGGAATCTACCTATATTGATATATTGGTATATGGGGAAATATTTTAGTTCATTTTCTGTCATTTTTGTTTTGTTTTACCAGTCTAGTCTTTTATTAGTCTAATCCAGTCTACTGTTTGAATCAACAATGCAATATTTCACAAATTTTAGTTTATTTTGGTTTGATATTGAGCTATGACCAAAATATATATTGATAAAATCAAATCAAATACAAGTCAGCTTCTGTTACCTGGGATATCTACACGCGTATTCCACTGCTGGTGTAAATTGTCGAGCTCAATAAAATAAATTTTCTTGGACGTAACCTGCACATCTATGTTTCCACGCTGAGGACAAAAGTTGTAAATTGGGGGTCACTCTAAAAACGATCTCTGTAAGATCATTGTGTTTATATTTTCATTATGTCTTTAGAAAATCCAGTTATGAGCCCTCACAACTGCCCAATCGCTGCCTTCTGCTTTGAATTTGAATTTAGATTGCAAGCTGGAACATACCACTGGCGCTCCTGATTGGCTCTATGGGTGCTAGGCTGTTGCTACCCAAACATTTAGCCCCACATTCCCGCTCATAAAGCCTCTTCGAACATCCTCTAACCGGCTTTTCTGGCCTAAGCAAACACTAAGGGTGACGTCGGCACTCGGTGAGTTCTCTCCTGCCACAGTCTGCGGTATACCCCCGAGGCCCCCGAGGAGGCAGAAAATAGAAGGTGGTGTGAAAAAAATCCCAAGGCAGTTTAGCCGCAGCTGAATCGTGAAATTCGGTGACTGTACGAGAGACACCTTCGGATCAGAGCGTTTGCTTGGTCTCCCTCCTAATAAGCGAATCCTCAAATCTGATTGGTTGGTGAGTCAGCGATGTCTTCAGTGCGTGTGTTTCTCCCCCGGAGGAGAGGGTGGCAGGCCAGCTGACGGGACGAGGGTTTTCTGTGTGTGTTTTTGTGTCTGCGTGTGTGCGTTCAGTCCTTTCATTCGTCGGCCCCGCCTCCGTACATGTCGGCCAGTTTCTTGAAGCGCGGGCCCCAGTCGTTGAGATAGTCATAGTCCTGGTCACCCGTGCTGGACGAGTTCAGAGAGCTGACGGAGCCCGCAGTAGAGCCGCTGCCCTCGTAGTCGAACACCAGCAGGCTGTCGTACGGGGGCGCTGTGGGGTCGTTGTCCGCCGCTCGTAGGCCCTTTGTGACAGACACAGAGAGAACGGCATTCATTTCAATGGGAAAACATTATGGACAATGCTATATACAGCTCAAGCTTTAAAAGTTTAAAACGACAATGACGAAACAGGTGGTCAGAACTGTGAAAACCTCAAAAGTCTTAAACTCATTAAGATTCGGACCATGAATAATATATTTTGTTTTTCCTGACAGAAATAATCTTCTACCATTAGTACAAAAACAATTTATCTTTTGCATTCTTGTGACGGTGTTTTCTCCATGCGTATCTATTCCATTCTTTAGTCCTCTCTTTTTCTGTTGGAAAAAGCTGATCTAAAAGATGCGTCAGAGGCCAATTTAACTCACTTGAAATCCCTAAATCCCAACAGTAAAAAAATGTAAAATGTAAATTGACCAACAACAAATCAAAGAATCAAACCTTTTTCGAACACAAGAATTGCAATAATAACAAACTCATAGGAGACACTGGTCCATTGAGAACAGGATGACCGCTGTCCATAAATGTTATTTTATGTCCATCAACATTGTTCCAACCTCCTGCGGCAAGGAACAAAAAAAACCCAGTGGGAATAAAGTGGGAAACCTTGGGGAGGGAGATTCGCTCCCATGCACGGACAGGCAATAGATCCAGGACTCAGGCTGTAGAACGAGGACTGAGGCTGTGCGGCGCAGGACTGAGGGGGGTCAAAAAACATGTGATTGAACCAAACTGTTTTATAGATAGATTTTATTACACGGTGACATTTTGGATGTTTTCCAAGTTACTCCACATATACTACATACTTGCATCTCGCCTCACAGCAAGTCTTGTTCCAATTGGGTAATAAACGGTGCCAAAGAATTGATGATTGTGTGTGTGTGTGACAGCATTTGAGCCATTGAGGGCCATACTTTGGACTCTATCAGTGAGAAACGAAGCCTGAGGCCGTGCGACTCTCTCGTCAATGTGTCATTCTCATGTGTCATTGCAGAATTACATTTGCTTTTTAAGATATAGCACACAAATTAAAGGTCAAACAAAGAAAAATAAAAGCAATACAAATGTCTTTACAGGCCAGCCAGATTCGTGTACCATTATGAAACACTAAAACGAGTTTGGAGACTGGATCAATAGGAGTGATTAAAGGATATGGGGCACTTTATCTTTAACAGGAGGAGGGTCATTGTCACATTTGTATTCTGCTCCTGTCCTGGTTTTGTGCCTCGTCGGCTGTTGCTGTACCCGTATTATTTTTTAGTAACAGATTATGACAGAGCAACAGCAAAGCCACGGTTTAAAAAAAAAAAAAAAGGCTTCAGAGGATACAACATCAGACAAATAATCCAGTGTGGTCCGGGTTTTAGAGTGGCTAATCTTCCACACTTAAAGTGCATATGACGGTTAAGACTTTCCTTATCACTAAACACAGTCCTTATTATTACACATTTACTAAAGAGCACTTTAGTCAGTTTGTACAGGGATAATTGCAGATGGCCTAAATATGTTTTTTTTATGGCAAATGGCATGACATTGGTCATCCTGCTTCCTATGGACTGATGGCTCTTTGGTGTTTGTTATCGTTGCATTTCCTGTGTTTGATTCACTGCTCTGTTGTTGGTGAATCAACAACTTTAATTGAATTGAATGAAAAATTACTTGTTATTTTTTTGTTTTCAACACTCTAGTGTACGCAGACACTAGGGAAGAGGGTCGGCACTAGATCATATACGGAATCGGGACAAAACCGGAAGTTTTGAACAACTCTACTTTTGAATTAGTTTTAGACTAAAAAGTTCTTAAGTGGTGACTGGTTAAGTTTGAGGCGTCTGAGTAAGATGGTTAAGGTTAGGGTTATGGCTGGGTTGGGGTTATTTTATGGGAATGGCTGGTTAAGTTTAGGCATGAATAGCTAGTTTGTTATATTTACTTCAGCTTCCGTCCCGATTCCGTATATGATCTAGTGCTGACCTAGGGGAGAGGCGGGTTAAGTGTCTTGCCCAAGGACACTCAGTAGCAATGACCAATGGGAGCTGGTTTCACACCTGTGGGTCAGTCAGTCTGACCGCTCAACTACTGATGTTCATGTCGGGAGGAGGTTTTGAAACACCGAGCTCAAACTCCGAGGAGCTGCTGCTGCTAATACATGAAATCAGAATCACATTTAATTCTATTGTATGTAACAGAAAGTCACAAGGAAGATTCAAAGCATACATACGCACAAAAATCTGATATAAGTACACACAATAGACCTAACAGTGCAGACAACAAGTGACCAGAAGGACGAGATCATGGAGCTTTCGCGAAAGTTCACCGTGGTAGACCCGGCTGTTGCTGCCAGGCCACAGGCTGTTCTTCCTCGACTCATCAATACCAGCAACGCCCACACCCAGTCAACCAATAACCACCAGGACAGCAAGTTAAAAGCCGGAGACGCCCACTTCCCGGCCTTCTGAAGTTTGCAAACTTCTGAAGCCTGCAAGGTGCATGTCGCTAACGCACCTGTTCGCAAATGCATGCGTTGTTCTGGAGGGGTCGCTTCTGCTCACGTGTTGCTCGTGCGCGTGGCCCGGCTGTTCTCAGTCTGGCTGCTCGTGGTCTGCTCCTCCTCCGCGTCCCTGCACCTGCTGTGGTTCGCATATCCCCACTGCTCTGCTCCTCTGCGGGCTCTTCTGCGGGCTGCTCCGCGGGGCCCCTCCGCGGTTCTGTGCTGCTCGTTCCTCGTGGTCTGCTGCCGCGCGCAGACGGTCTGGCGGTGCCGTGCGTGTCCCTGCCTCCGATTGGCGGTGCCGCGTTGTCCCGTTGCTTTCCCAAGTCTCCTGGCATGTGAGTACAGTGAGTGTGCCGACCGCGGACAGTTTAATCCCGGAGTCTAGGCTGCAGGCGGCTGGTTTTTGCCCTACGCACTTGACTGCAGGCGTCAGTTTTCGCCCCGTGCTTGGTCTGCAGGCTCCGTTTTACACGTGTTTGAGCTAACTGAGGGACAATGCATCTTAAATGGCATCAATCTCCAATGTTTGAGGGATATAAGAGGAGCAATGTGCATTAATTCAGATTCATGTTCTGCCACTTGCAGTAAAACCACGTTGGAAAAAATGTGCAAAGACTACCCCATCGTGCTCCAGACGGCACACACAGAGCTCTTGCCACGGCGCCATCTTTACAGCATTAATCTCATTACTCGCAAGTCACTATTGTTAAATGAATGTATTTAAATTTGTCTATCTGCAGGAGGAAGGAGGGGCCATGCATTTAAATAGCTAGGTCACTAGTATTAAATTGGGTAACTAAACTGCAGTTGTTGCATTTCAAAAGTGCAGCAGAAAGAAAAGGGGCCCAATGTGAATCTGCAATGGGTTTGAAGTGGAGTTGGAGCTAATGAACGCATGGAAAAGTGATCGTTCATGCGTATCTGCCATAACCAAAGCAGCAAGATGGCTCCAGGGGACATCTGTTTCTCGCATGGGAATGTTTCGGATTCGGGTTGATTTATTTCCTCAGGCTCCTAAACAACCGTGGGCATGGTTCTCTGACCGCCGCTGCTGCGGTCCCTGCTGCCGTTCCTACTGATGCCTGATCCCGCTGCTGCCTGTTCCTGCTGCCGCTCCTGCTGCTGCCTGTCCCTGCTGCCTGCTCCTGCTGCTCCTACTACTACATGTGCCGCTGCTGCTGTTCCTGCCGCTGCCGCTCCGCAGGCTCCCAGGCTGCACCTGTCTCTACGGCTCGGCTCTTTCAGACACGTATGTAACCTGGCTCACGGAGACAAGCGGCGCACGCTGGCGTGACACGTCTGTTGTTCGTATGAATCGCATTGTGCTGCTGCTGCTGCTGCTAATGCTGCTTCTGCTGCTTCATACTGCTGCCGCTACTGCTGCTACTGCTGCCGCTACTGCTGCTACTGCTGCCGCTACTGCTGCTATTGCTGCCGCTGCTGCTTCATACTGCTACCGCTGCCGTGCTGCTGCTGCTTCTTTACTTTGACACCTCTCTTCACTGCGCATCTCTTTTACTGAAACACTAAACAGCTTCAACTATATTCTACTGCGGTGGCTTTGATACAGGATTATTGCTGTTATTATCTATGGATGCTGCAACCGCTGCTGCTGCTGCTTCATACTGCTTCATACTGCTACTGCTGCTGCTTCATACTGCTACTGCTGCTCCTGCTAATGCTGCTTCTGCTGCTTCATGCTGCTACCGTTACTGCTGCTACTGCTGCCGCTGCTGCTTCATACTGCATCTGCTGCCGTGCTGCTGCTGCTTCATGTACTTTGACATCTCTCTTCACTTCGCATCTCTTTTACTGAAACACTAAACAGCTACAACAATATTCTACTGCTCTGGCTTTGATACAGGATTATTGCTGCTATTATCGACGGATGCTGCAGCTGCTGCTGCTTCATACTGCTACTGCTGCTGCTGCTTCCTACTGCTACTGCTGCTGCTTCATACGGCTACTGCTGCTACTACTGCTGCTGCTGCTTCATTTACTTTGCCATCTCTCTTCACTTGCATCTCTTTTACTGAAACCCTGAACAGCTACAACAACATTCTACTGCTGTGGCTTTGATACAGAATTATTACTGTTATTTTCTAAGGACGCTGCTGCTGCTGCTGCTACTGCGGCTGCCGCGGCTTGATACAGGACTTTTGCTGTTATTATCTGAGGTTACTGCTGCTGCCGCTGCTGCTACTGCTACTGCAACCCACTCTCTCAGAAGCTTATCCTGCTTCTAATGGATGCAGCCCGGCTGAGTATGCCGCGCTGCGCCGGACTCGCACCTATGCTCCCAGGGTCGCTTCGGCGGTCGTGCTTCATCTCTCTACTGAATCTTCTGATTCTATCAGATGCAGCTGGCCAAGTAGCTGCGCTGAGCCGTCAATCGGACTCCTAATCAAAGGCATCCATACCTGTATTCTTCACTCTTCTGATCGCAGGCTCCCCATCATGCTGCCCATCCTGCAGCGGCTCTGAGCGGCACTGAACTCCGGCTCATCTTCCAAGTACATGTCTGCCCTCCTC